AAAAGATGATTCAGGCGCAACATTACAGGACTACTTTCCTTTATAGAAGGACACAGCAGAGATTAGACTTTTTCTTTACTAGGGTCTACAAATTTTGGCTTGCCTTCTCAAATATCATAGTCAACAGACACCCCCAAACCTTCTCCAGCTGAAGAGGATGCCCAGCATCACCTTGACATGAGGACTAGAGACACTCAGGCACTGGGGCAATCTTTTGTCTCACCATCATGCTTGTGAATGGATCTGGAGTTTATTTATGTATCCCTATTTAACTTCTTTTAACAGTCAACCTTGGTAATCAAATGCCTATCAGCTGGGAAGCAAAACGTACTACCCCAAAAGAAGGTTGTGCTTTTTACATACCAAAAGGATGCCCTATTATAAAACAGCTTTGATAGTTGTAAAAAAAATCCTTGCAGGATCTATGGAAGTACAACAGTAGAGAAATAAGGAAACATGAATGTAATTCATTCCAATGTCCAAACAAGAAGCTTACACATTTCATATTAAGACAAAAACAGGAACTATCATTTCTGCTGTTATTTTTTGTCTGATGAGGATACTATCCAGTTGCAGCTAAAATCCTGGATTTCTCCATTAATTTCTATAAGGAGCTATCACTCTGGAGCTAGAAGAGAGAAAAAGGCAGAACCAGAGGAAGCTAATACATGCCAAATTGTTATAACTACAAAAATCTAAAGCAGAAGGCAGATAAACCATGGTTTGTTGAAAGTTTGGGAAACCCGTCCCCCAAGACAGTGGAAGAAGGGGAAAGAGAAATTGACCTGTTTATGTTCTTCAACACATCCTGCAGGTAATCATTTGAATGAAAAAAGCATGCCATAAAAGAGAAAAACTGTGCTTCTCTATTATATCCCCATTTTACTTATTTTACTAACTACAAAGAGCAATGGGCAGTGTTCATGGGTTTTCCTTCCACTTTATCTTCACCACAACTCTATGAGTTAGCGTAGGCTGGGAAATACTCAATGAGGATTAGAATATAAGTTTATGAAATAGAAAAATAATGAGGAGGAGGAACAGAAAGAGAAGCATCTCTGATCTGATCTTGTACTGCACCTTAGAATTGCTCCAAGGACCTATGGGGGGTGGGCAGGGATACTCACCTCTTCCATTCCAAGCTGTAGGTGGTCCTAGACTCACAATTCACTATGACGTAGGGATAGAGGATACTTGCTACAGCAAGTGAATTTTCAAGAATGCTAAGAAGACAGCACTCCCGCAGTGCTAGCCTGCAAAGTAACATCAGTTCTGCCAAATACAGGCAACACTTAATAGGGGCCTCCCCAAATGGTTTTTGCTACTGGGTGCAAAAACAGAGCTCTGTTGCTGGCTACCATGCAAATGTGTTCTCCCTGCCACATCGTGCCAGCTCCACCCAAACTGGCTGTAGCCACAGTCTGACAGGCCATTGAAAAAATGTGTTGCAGAGAACATTGGCCATTGAGGAATCATCAGTGGCTTCCAGTGGTTGAAAGCCAACTGTCCATCCACTGTTGCAATGGCATCTTCCAGCAGGGGATGCCTTAGCCCGCCCACCACCCTGAGCATGCTACACTTTCCCCAGATCTGATCTGGATGATTGGTGACACTTCTGGAACACACTGGGAGAACATGCAGCAGGGAGAAGAGAAAGAGAAACTTTGCCTCTTAGTCTGGAATTGTCATTCGCTCAACTGATCTCAAGCAATCAAGTACACAATAAACCCATTTAACAATACAGACTAATTTTGATCTCTCACAGGAAAAAAAACACACTTTGAAAGTAAAATGCATATTATGAAGTAGGCTCTTATGAACAATCACCCAATAAATTGACCTCAGATGCTACACCATTTTAAAACTCTGTTAGTAACTTCACAGTCAGAATGGTTCAAAGCATTGTAATTTACAAAGCCCATATCCATGTGGAATTATAATTTCTCTAGATAAACTCTTGTATTTATAATACTTTTTATATAAACTCAAGTAAAGGCAGTTGAAAAAATCTTGCAGCCCTACAGCTTTCAAATACAGAACAAGTCAGCTCAAGTCCTATTGATATCTGACAGCAAAAGATCCTACTTCACAAGTAACATAAAGCATGAGTCAAACAGAGCTAATTAGCAGAAATAAATTATTGGTAATGTTCCAGTGAAACGATACAAAATTTAAGAACTCAAGAAGTTTCACTTTAAGTCTCATATCCTCTGACTCTGCATGCAATGCAAGGAGTTGCATGAGAGAGGTACACCTGCCAGTGCGCCAGGACTGGACACTACGTCTTACTCTACATATTGTCATGTAACACTAGGATAACCCTTTGCCTCAGTTCCGTTTTGCCATACATGAGACGTTAACTGCCAACATTCATAAAGCCCAACTGATTACTTTAGAAGAACAGCAATCTAACTTTAAGATTACCCATCTTGCTTGCAAGTACAAAATCCATCAGAAGCTGTATCAAGAAATAGTTTTTCTGTTCATTTTTTTTAACCCCCAACATGGTAAAACTCAGCCATTTTAAGCTGTAAAATTGGTATATTTCCTTATGTGTGTCAGCACATATTTCTCACATGACTGGAGGAGGGAAAATAAAATTACAAGAAAATGAGGTGCAAATTCAGAAAGACTGGCAAAGGCAAGATGTTACTTTGAGTTTAGTTAGCTTCTTTCATGATCACATGACATATTAAACAGCATTCACTTTGTAGGCTCTTTATTAGTTTACTCAATTACTGCAGGATTCTGTCTTTATATACCAGTTTATTACCATGACCAATACTATGAATAGTATTCCGTACACCTGAAACTGAGGCTCAGCTAAAATCTGCTCTTGAAACTACTTCCGTAGCTTGCCTTTGCCAAAGAAGAACAACTGTTTCCTCTGTTATCGCCTTTATGTTACTATCACTCTCAGAAAGGTACATCTTTTTTCAAACCACTTCCTGGCTCAGTCTAAAGGAGGACTCTGAACTTTTGCCATGGACGCAGAAGGCTTTTTTCTTAAGCAATTATTGCCAGACAAAAAGAGCATGCACTTCAGCCAAACTCCTAGATTTTTGGGGGACATCAACAGTGGGACAAGCTGGTAAAACTCAGGTTTTCGTGGGGCAAAAGGAGGAAGTGGGGTTATTACTCTATCTCTGGCATGCCTTTTTCTGTTTTCTGAGGGAGTTTTTGGCAACTCTTAATAAGGTTGCAAAAGTCCAGCGAAGTACACAGTAGTTTGTCTAATCAAAAAGCTTTGAAGAAAGTTGACATGCCTGAACTGTGGGATTAGCAAGAGAACACTAGAGAGGCAAGGTCCTTGCCAGAAGGTGACTGACTTATTCTTTGTCTGATGCCGTACATATAAAAATAAGCCATTTGGATGTTTCCTCAGAAAGGGACACCTGAGGCCTAGAGTCAAAGCTAGGAATACACCATATGCTTTGGCATCCATACTTCCATTGGAGGCTCACTTTAAGCAAAGCAAGCAAGTAGAATTTTAATGCTGACTTCTTAGAACTTTTAAGTGTCCTTTCAAACTCTTCCAGGAGAAGGATATGGAACAGCACAAGGAATGGGAGTGGTCAGAGTACACAGAACTTGCCCACTGCAAATATCACAAATTCAGTTCCATATGCAAGGGTGGTGTGGTAAACAGCTGCAACAATGGGCAAGCCCACACGGAAGCCTCAGAGCGGTTAACTGTCAAGACTCCTCCCTGCCAAGGAGCCCTAGAAATTATAGCTGTGAGGCAGCATCAAGACTCTGACTCTGCAATCTCAGCACACTCCCAATACTAAAGTTCAAAGGAGAAAAGTCTGTCATTGAAGACAAGGGCTAGTTTTCGTTTGCAAATCTAATCAGATAGAAAGGTGCAAGTATCTTTGATAAAAGGTGTAGGTTCCCAGCCCCTCCAAGGTCAAATGAATAGGGACTTTCTTTGCTTTAGCATAAAGTGTTAGGACTGGGTGAGAAACATGAAGCCTTCCAAATGTTATTGGACTGCAAGTCCCATCAGTTAACACAACTCCCATCAACATAGCCAATGATGATGGAGGATGGAAATGGCAGCCCAACAACACCTGTAGCGCCACACATTCTCCACCCTTTTCCATCCGAGGGGGAATTGAGAGACCAGGAGACAAAGAAAAACTTTCAATAAATAAAAATATATAGGTTTGCATACTCTATTGCACGGAACCTCAACTAGCATAACTTTTCTGTTTGACATTGTGCAGCTCTAAGGGAAATGACAGTTTGAGGCTGCAATCCTACACTCGTTTGGGCATAATTTCCCCTTAACTCAATGAAGCTTACTTCTGAGGTAGACATATATAAAACAGCAGCGCCCTACGTAGCAGCTCTTAGGACTTTCTCCAAAGTAGGTGCACAGATAGACTATTTCTCACAAATGAGTAAATAAGTATGGGATTGGTTTCTCGGTTCACAGAAGCCCTACACTACAAAACAGCAGCTCCGCTTCGACAGGCCTTTCCCTTCCGATACACATTTCTGTGGAAAGGCGATGTCAGCAACAGGATTCCTCAAAAAGGAAGCAGATTCTCTTTCCGAAAGAAAACCTGCTTGCTTGTCGAGAGATTACCGGGGCCCTCCAGACACCTGTGCCGCCCTCCTGCTTGCGACACCTCGGCCCGCGGACACTTCCTGCAGTGTCTGTGGAGGAAGCGGGGTGGGGGGTGGGGGGTGGAGAAACCCATCCGGGAAGCTACTCAGGTAAACAGCAGCTTTTCTCCAGCGACAGGTGTTTCCCCTCGTCGCCATCACAAACAGCGCCCCCAAGGACACCGCTGGCCCTCGCGCACACGTGTCCTTCTGCGAGGCAGGGCAGCCTCGGCACCGCCCCCCCCCCGCCCGACCCCCCAGGAAGCCGAAGAGCGGGGCGGGGGAGTGCGAAAAAAGGTGCTCCATCTTGGCCCAAGCTCAAGCTCAGGCTCCGGACTTGGCGAAGAGCGGGCGAGACCAGAAGTCCGCGCCAGTGTTCAACTTACAGCCATAGCGGGGTCTCTGCAAGGCCGGCGAGGAGGGCTCCTCATAATGCATTCTCCCGCGGGGTGAGGGGGAGCCGGCAGCCGCCTCGGCGCTCACAAACTTCGCGGAGCCGCCAGCCGCGGTAATCCCTGCTCCGGGAGCGCCGCTGCAAACGCGCGGGCGCACACGCCCCCCGCCGCCGCCGCGCGCACAGGGTCCGCGGGTCCGCTCCTCCTCCGCCGCTGGGGCCGCTGCAATCCCAAGGCAGACTCGCTCGGAGCGGTCGGTCGGTCGGTCGGTCGGTCTCCAGCAGTCGCTCGCTGCGAAGCAAGCCTGGGCTGCGCGCGCCTCGCTGCTGACGAGCGCAGAAGTTCGGGGCAGGCTGGAGGGCGGCTCTTCTCGCCTTCGCCGTTCCCTCCCCCTCTCGGATTCGCGCCCGAGAGTCGCCTTTTACCTGGCCGCCTTACCCGCAGCGCTCTCTCGGGCCGGGGGGCGGCAGCACTCCCAGCTGCGCGGGGAAGGGCAAGAGCTGCTCCTTGCGCGCGCTCGGATCCGTCTTGGGCGCCGCCGCCGCCGCCAGAGTGGACTCTGCACCCACTCCGCGCGCGGTTCCTCTTTCTTTCCTCTCCTCCCAGTCGCTCCCCGGCCCCGTTATTCCGAGGGGCGGGGAGGGGGATTGGCTGCTCGGCAGCGACCCCTGTCGCCTGCTACGGAGGGTGATGAGGCCGCTGGGGGGCCGAGCCCCCTCCCTACCTCGGCGCCCACTTTGTATATACGACTCCCGAGGAAGGCCTCAGGGGATGCTTCCAGCTGGGGAGGGGACTCTAAGGCTGGGGCAGTGTTGTTTTGTTTGGGGTTTTCTGTGGGGCTGCTTTGCTGAGTTTCCTCGCCACAACCCCGGCGTGTGGCTTGTGAGGCTGCAGAGCAGAGTATTTTTGAAAGAGCAAACGCGCACACGTAAGGAAGGAAACAAAAGACCGAGCTGCTTCATCCTATTTCTGTCCCAGGCAGTTGCTCGGTTACGCCGAGCGCCTCCTTCCCTCCAAAGCCGCTTCGCCAATGAGCACCTCCTTCCAGAAATAAAAGTTATTTCCAGCGAGAAACGCACCTTGTTCACGTGACTGAGGCTGTTACGGCACGCTTGTGTCAAGGGCTCAACTGATTGATAATAAGATCTAGGCAGCCTTCCCCCACCCAGTTGCTCCCAGCTGTTGGATTACAACCTCCATCATGCTGGCTAGGGTTGATGTGGCTGTAGTCCAACGCTACTGGAGGGTACCAGATTGGGGAGACTGGACTGTAGCATTCCTGAACATGCACAGATATCCCTTCCTTTGTTGCTAAGCAAATCCTTGCTTATCAGGCGGAGGGGCACATTGAAGCACATTGTGTATTTACTTAAGAGTAAATATGTTCTTAGTAGACAAAATTAAATCCAGACCAGAAATCTGGAGCTGTGGTTTCCAGGCTACACTGTTACTTTTGTGTAAGAATGAAGCACACTGGTTTACTCTTTTAGAAAATATGAATATGCAGTTCTGTATCTGAAATAAATTTTTACATGTGAATAGGTACTAATGGCTCCAACTTTTCAACATAACCTGTGAGCATGACCTGAGACTAGGTATAAAGAATACAAAAGTGTCCCTATTATCTCTGTATTGTTTGCAGTTGGACTCCATGACTCACTGTTTCTTAAGGAAAATAAAGGCTTCACTATTGATTGCCAGGCTTTGACCTTCATGTACTAGCAGCCATAAAAGGCTGCCTTCTCTCAGAAGTTTGTAAAAAATCAAATATTGACTGCAGAACAGTACAACTTAAGCAACTTGTGAACTGTAGCCCAATTCAACAGAACAAGCAAAAACAACAGTGCATGGATTTGTGAGTTTCTAGTATAATAACAACAGCAAACTCTCAGTGCAATGCTTTATCCATAATCAAGCTTTCCCCCTTTTTAGAAGACAGTTTGCACAAGCTACGCAACCTGCCCAGAGCCCTCTAAACTAGTTTGCTTCCTCAGGTGTGATGAAGACATTCTCCCATCATCAGTGTTGAAGGAAAATTCAACTGCCAATCCACTTGGCTTCTGGTAGGTTTGCTGTCTCATTCTTTGCCTCAGGCAGCAGTTGACCCTGAAGACATTAAAGCAGCCTGGCACACTCAAAAGCTGGAATGAGTAGAACTGAGGAAATATAGAAGAAAAGTGAAAAGAGAGAAAGAAGAGCCAACACATGGCATATATTATCATAAGTTCAATAAGTTGTTGACAAAAGACATTCCCTAAGTAACTTCTGCAAAGTAGTACTCAAGAAAAGTTCAGTTGGAAAGACCTGAATCATCAGTCCAAGAATAGGACAGCACAAATACATTTGAAAACAAGAAAAACAAGACAGATGATGAAACAAGAGTGCAAAATGTGCATCTAGTTGCCACCACCCAACATTTCCTCTGTTGACTTAATTTTCATAAATACCTTCTGTGGTAGTTTTAGATTGGACCAAATATTCTAAACATTTTGTTCTTCATTCTGATCTTGATTCAATATAAACTCAGCAAATCTCAAACTCTGAAATATCTAGAATTGATATAGTATGCCTGGTTCATTTTCAAATAGTAGCATTTTTAAACCAGAGATGAATTTTGTAAGCCATCCTGAGCGCTTGAAGCGATAGGATGGGGTATAAATGCATGTAATAAATAATAAATTACCATATGTATATAATTGATTTAATCACATACATATAACCAATAGCTGACATATCACTTGTAAGATACTTCTATGAAAAATTTCCAATGCCATTATTAAAGGAATGTTTCAAAATTAGAATGGTCATGCTTCTCATTTTCAGAAATATTATGAAACACAGAAAGCGGAACTGAAAATATGTTTATAACGACACAGCGCAAACCACATCACATTATTTAAACATAGTTTTAAATACAAGCTGTAGGTCTTCTTCATCATTCCATGTTTCTTCTCTGCAACACAAGAGATTTTGCATGTGGAAGGCCACTGTTGTTTGGAATTCCTGAGTAGCTTAACCAGGAGTGACGCAAATACATGTAGTTGATTAGAAAAGCTTGTTGTTGAAGTAACTCCATTAATGTTGTTCTTGCAGTTACAATGCACTTATTTAATTGGTAAATCATGTGCTACATTTAGATCCAAGGAAAGGAAAGTTCCTTCTGCCTTCAAGTGGAAAGAGACTGGAATGCTTTGCTTGAGTTTTTATGTAAAGAAACAAACTATGATTTGTAACTCAAAGGCCACTTATTTGCTGAAGGGTCAGGCAACTGCTTCTTGGGTGTGGCAGTTCTGTGTCAGTGTAAGAAGAAGGCCTTCAAAAATTTGAGGGAAATCTGAGATCATTTTCAGCCACCAGATAATTAGAGTTAAGGGCATAGGACTGGGTAGCTCTTGCAACACAAATAATTGTGCAAACTAATTAGTTCATTTTATAGTAAAAATGCCATTGTTAAGAATACAATTTTGTGCAGATATATTAGATATTAGGTAGCAAGTCATTTTGCATTTGCTAATTTCTGATTACACATGCAGTCCTGCAATGAAGATCTAGCAATTCTACAGGAGCAATCCTATGCATATTTGGACAGAAAAAAATCCTACAATTCCAGCATGGTCGGCTGGGGAAATGCTGGGAGTTGTAGGACATGTTTCTGTCTATACATGCATAGGATTGCACCTCAAATAGCTTTATTAGATTTTATTATTCACAAGTAGCAAAAACAATTGTGAGGTGTTAACATCTCACTCAATCCAGAGTAGAAGTATTCACCAGTTAGTATTTGATTCCACATTTCTAATTTGTTTAGACTAACTACTAATTTAGCCTTTGAGATTGCAGTCCTATGCACATTTACTACGAAGTCCCACTGAGTATATCAAAGTAGTATCAGTTTTCACAGTGCTTTTTTTGTAAGAAAAAAGGTGCCAGAACTCATGAAATTATTTACCTTTCGTACGTAGTCAATCACTGTACACACACCCATACACGTCAGTTGTGTAACGAAACATAACGGTTGCCACCCGCAGTAAGCTCAGCGCATGACCACATGACCAATCACAAGCCAAGCAGCACCACAAGCTGCGCAGCACCATCACAACCAGTGCGGACAATGTACGCACGCATCAGATTCAACACACAAGCAGCCTGCATGCACCGTTTTAATGATTTTGCTGCCGACCTGCTATGCACGACACAGCAATTCAAATCCACATGGACCAAACATCAAATTTTCAGCAGTTACTTTTAAAACTTGGAAAATCTGTTGAAAAAAGGTGCCGGAACTCTGTTCTGGTGCGTTCTATGACAAAAAAAGCACTGAGTTTTCATATTTTTAATTTCAATTTTGCTGCTGCAGTATACTTATTTATTAGTAAATCATGTGCTATACACAGCATGGTGAACATACACCATCGTTAGTGCATTCCATTATTGTGCAACGCATTGACACAATCAGCAAGGTATTGTTAGATATCTCCCTGCATCTACTACCACAGGTCTACAAAGCAAACAGGACAGCTGCACTGTATAGATAAAGGACTCATACAGTGTATCTTTGCTCACCAAAGGACACTGAAGATTTGCTCTGACTAGAATGCTATCTTGTATGAATGTATATTTTTATGATACATACAACAGATCTTTTCAAGACTCAAAAGAACATTACATCAGGTTGTAATGTTGGTGGTAGGTGAATTTAGGTTGTCTGAAATCAACACATCTTGGGTTTGTTATCATTAAGTTGCTTAAGATTTTAACATATATATAGATTTTTAATGTATTCCTACAACTAAATAAGCTCAGAGCAATGCATAAAACAAAATTCCTAATGACAGTCCTCACTATGTATGAGTGTGAAAACTGAACAGTGAAGAACACTGACAGAAAGAAAATTGATGCATTATAAACATGGTAGTGGAGGAGATCATTGCAAATACCCTGAAACAACAGGATGAACATGTGGGTTTTGGAGCAAATGCAGCCAGAACTTGCCCTGGACGTGGTCATACTTTTGGCACATAATTAGAAGGCAAAATTCACTGGAGAAGGCAATAATGCTCGGGAAAGTCAAAGGCAGTAAAAGAAGAGGAAGACCAACTATGAAATGGGTAATTTTGATAAAGGAAGTCACAGCCTTGTGTTGGCAAGAGCTGAGCTGAGCTGCAGGACCTTCTGGAGGGCACTCATTCACAGGGTTGCCGTAAGTCAGAGATGCCTTGAGAGCACATAACAAGAACAACCCATTCAAAAACATTGTAAGTCCAATCAGTCTAACGGTACAGAAATCATAACAGAACCTGCAGAGTAAAATGATGTAAACCAAACAAATCAAAACCAATAAGGGCATAATCCAATGTCCTGTGCTCTTAGTCTTTAAAGGGACAAAACTCTTTGCTGTTTTTGTTGCAATAGACTGACACATCTTCCTTCTGGAATTTATTAAAAATGATTACTCGTAGTGCAGTTGTTGCTGATAACACAAAGATCCTTGCACCAATTAACACACAAAGTATGATAAGAATCCTTTGTCCTGA